ATATTTGAAAAGTTGATTCTGGCGTTTGGCGAGTCTACTATGAGCAGAACATAAGTTCAATTGTGGTATAACTGGAAGGTCGAGAAGATGTCAATGGTAATGCTCGTCCTGGCCCCCGCTGACTTTTTCCTCTTCCCAAAACTGAAGACACCGATGAAAGGAAAGCGTTTTGCTCGTATTGAGGAGATAAAAGAAAAATCGAAACAGGAGCTACTGGCGATACAAAAAAAAAATACATTTCAAAAGTGTTTCGAGGATTGGAAAAAAGCGCTGGCAAAACTGTATTGTTGTATATCTCAGATAGATTACTTTGAAAGCGACAATATAGTTATTGATGAATATATGACCAATACATAAACCTTTCGCACAACGCTTTTAGAAATAGGCGGTATATACGGTATATCAGCGAGAAATTATCTGAAATACATTTGAATTTAGCCAAAATAATGTCGAACTCTTCTGCTCCGAGAAGATAACTTACTTACCACTTTTCAAGTGGTAATGGTGTGATACGCAAAATAAATTAAAACTGATCTCGGGGGAGGTATTTTATATGTAGAAACCGTGTACAAAACACTGTTCAAAAAAATATTGCGCCATATTGCCATGTTTAATAATACATATAATATTAATCAACAAAGCCTTGTATACAATACTGAACAATAGTGGAATAACCGACCGAACTAGCTAAAATAAGAGCACATTAGTAAATAAAAAATACTTTCGTATGTTAGTTTCACTTATTCTTAAGACTAGACAAACAAACTTCCTCTTAGCCCTTTTTGGAAACAATTAATTTTAAGTGCCGCATTACGCATTATTATAATACACTAGTATTAAGTCATTGTATAGTATATATATATAAATACGTGTATATATAATTTTAGACTCCTAGATAAATATTAAAGTATGTTAGGATAAGACTATCACTTTTAAAATTTAAGAATGATTTATGAAACAAATGTTATTCTGGGCGAATAAAATGAAATGAAATGAAATAATGGGCTCTGACACGGCTTGACCAGATATACATAACAGAATTAGGTACATTTATTGCTTACATTCTAAGAATCTATTATGGTTTATATACAAATATTACCCTTTGGAGATTGGTAGATAACAGCTAAGAAAGATCATCTTCATTAATTGAAAATCTTTTTTTTACAAGATGTACATCAATTACTTAAAAAAAATACATGTTTGTATATATTATATATTCATGATTTTTAGTGAAATTTTTGGAACCTTGGAATTCACTGGGAGAAATGCAAGATCATTTTTTACTTTATAACATTTTACTTCTGAGCGGTCGTGCTGGTATATAAATAACAATTTTTTCATATACCCAACGTTCAGCGGATGGCTGCTAAGAAATCAGCTCCTTTCCATTGAACCAAAGTGCAATTTCCTTTTTGGCTGATTCTACAGCGTCCGAACTGGAATAGTACTGGACAAGGAATCAGCAGGGTTAGTTGCACATCTGGCAACCAGTTTTTACAATATTCAGACCTCCCAAACCATTGGAACCACTGAGCCAAAGCTCATATAGTTTACCAAACCGGGAAAGAATGCGCGGACAGACAAATTAGCATAGTACTTCTCCAAAAGATCTTTTGATGCCCATGTGAACTTCACAGCCACCAGCCAGCTTACCGACGAGTCCACGTTGGACTCCATCGGGTTTAACCATGATGAAAGTGCGCTCCTTGTTTACTGTCATTGCATTCGAGAACAATATACATAAATTGAAGTATTTTTTTTTTTAATGTACGTGTTAGAATTTTGAATATTTTAAAAGTTTTTGACCTTATTTACTCATTATTAGAGTTGCTAACTATGTAAATTTTTATTAAAATATAATATTAATTTTCATAATTTAAAAATTTTTGGAGAACTATGCAAACAATTCTTTTAAATCGTAATTGTGTTGCTTTGGAGATTTATGGTCAAAATGTGACACTGTTTCACATATAAAGTAATACAAATTTATTTTAAAATTTTCGGCAACTCGATCCTGCATAAAAGCAGTATATTCTTATGAAATCTAAGATTCTGCCGGAATAAACAGTTTTTGAAATTAATCACTAACATTTCTGACTTTTCATCATTTCTTTTTAACTACAATGAGATCAGTGATGGTGACCTACTTCATAACCTTGCAAACAAAGTACATGTGCAGTTAAATATATACGTATGTATGTGTTTATTTAGCGCTCAAGAAGTAGTATTTGGAAATTAATGCACATACATACATATCATATGTGCATGTGTGTGTCCCAGCAGCAAAAGTTAAGGTCTTGGAAGCGAAGAAGTGAAGTTGAAACTGAGATTTGTTATATTACGTATTTTATCAATTATATTTTATTACAAGAGAACTTCGCATACTAGTCTTTCGTGTGTTAGGTTTTGTTTCGGTATTATATTATATTAAAAAAAAAAATCATTTTAATAATACTTTTATTCTTTCAAATATATATATATACATATATACTACATAAACAATATATATATAAAGATATATATATATATATACGTATACGTATGTATATGTATGTATATATGTCAAAATGCCGCCAACTTTCTGTGTGCTTGCATACTTCGTATAATAGCGAGCAATAAGACGAGTCTGTTTTATGGAGGAAAAAATCGCTGTTGCTTTCCAAGAGAGAAACGTCAGTAACGGCATCAGCAAGCGGTTGTAACTTTTCATTTACATGGCGGTGTCATGAGATCGGTTGCGACAGCTGAATCGCTATGGTTATGGGCTTATGGCTCGGTTTTGTGTTTTCGGCAACAACAAATACACACGAAGAGTTTGTGTCATATTTGCTTTTTGAAAATCCATCTGCTATACCTTTTCGCTTCTAAAACGATAAGCCTTACCAATTTTTCTATTGGGTTGTACATATGTATAAAACAATTAGATCTAGAAGTTCAAAGCGCTAACGAACTAGCGTTTTGTTATGTTAGCGACTGGTATTTTTATCACAGCGAAGCCCTACGAAATGTCAACTACCCGATCATTTAAAAACATTTTAGCATAAGACTATATACACGGTGTGTCCCAAAAATAACCGAACTTTTTGGATATAAAATCAAATACACATTATTTTATCTTTGAAAGTTATTATTTATTCAAAATAGGTTCCATTTGACTCGACACAACGTTTGGAACGATCAACCAGCGCATGCATAGATTTTTTTATGCCATTTATAGAAATGTTCTTCAGTACCTCGGTTACGGCTGCTTGAATGGCTGGGATATCATCATAAAATGCTCCCTTCATCTTGGTTTTCAGTTTTGGAAATAAAAAATAGTCACATGGTGATAGATCAGGCGAATACGGAGGATGGTCGATGAGAGAAATCCCTTTTTTCATTAAAAATTCGAGCGATTTTTAGGTCGTCATTTAATTCATGTGGAACAAATCGCGCACTGATCTTTCTTTTCCCCAAATCTTCAGTTGAAATTCTCCAAATAGTGTTTTTATTCGTATTCAATTCCTCAGCCAACATTTTTCTAGTAAAATTTGCATCGATACCAATGATTTCACGGACTTTTTCCACCAGTTCAGCACGATTACTAGTTTCTTAACGTCCTGCTCTAGGGTCGTCATTCAAATCCTCACGACCATTTTTAAATCGAGTAAACCACGTATAATTTTGCGTACGACTCATACAATCATCACAATAAACTTTTTTCATTAGTTTTTTTCAAGTTTGACACAAAATTTTAAATTTGCTTGTTGTTCCATTTTATTTTTGAACCATTAGCACACTTTTGGTTTTATTGAAATGGCTGTCATGTTGTGTGATTTAAATATAAAGTTCGGTTATTTCTGGGCCACACCGTGTATACAGATAATTTCAATCAAAAAAATATGTTTGATTTTACAACTATTCGAATTCAGCTTATAATGAACTGATATCTCCACTTGCTCGGCCGAAAATCGCCCCTCGGCAGGGAATGTCAACCCCTCCGAGTGTATTTCTGAAATGAAATATAGGCTGCTCATAAAAAACCCATCAGCCTTTTGGAGGCGGCTTAGTATAAACTGCCCCTGCATTGGTTGCAAAAACATCCAGACTCTAAGCCACAAATTCCAGGAGGAGCTCGGCCGAAAATCGCTTCAGCGGTATGTATGCTCAATTTTATTGTGAAGCGACCCACATACGCAAATAGTCGCTAGTTCAATAATATAATGAAAAGCTAGGTGATGTAAAAAGTAATACATTAATTATGAATTAAGTTCAAGGATTTATTTACCGTAGTTAGAATTGTGCGATTTATGTCAATAATGGAACGTTTTGCTCTATAATTTTTTGCCGTTTTGAAGGTATTGTCATTACGCTTCTCTAAGAGGAATCCTAATACCTAGCAAAAAATTGGGACATTCGAGGTGTCGTTAACCATATCTGTGTGTCCCATTTTCACTGGCTTTAGCCGGCTGGAGAAGTTTTTAATTCCATACTCTCAGTATTCACCTAGATCACCTCTCTAGATTCTACAACAGTTTGGTCCCGTCTTGAAACCTTCTGTAATTCGCCTTATATTTTCTTCAAAATTTTCGAGCATTATCCTTGTCAGCTGTCTTCTCAAACTCTTCATACCTAAGCATTTCGACTTTTTTTTGCCTGCAAATGCGTCTTGTTTCCCTATTCAAGGTTTCAACGAGAAGAAGTGAACACACAGCACACGTCGTCTTCATAAATTATTTACAAAAGAATTTTTCGGCAATTTTTTTGTTTGTTAACGCCAAATATAAAAGCAAACTATCACTACTTTGCACAATTACTTTTTGAAGTCAGCCGTAAGTATATTCCGTCAAATTTTGGATATCTACAATTACTGTACATACATCTTGGAGATCTCAAAGGATGGATTATTCATTTTATTAACAAAAAATGTAAGAATCTTTTTATGAGCAAACAAATTTGATACACATTTATATTCAAATGGCTTACACATTTTTTAAATAAAAAACGTTAAATAAACTCACTGTTTGATTTAAGAACCATAAAAAATACGCCAACAAAATGAATTACTCCTCTGTAGGTAATCCTCATTTTTTAATCAAATTAACTTCTGGATATTTCGCTGGTAATGATTGTTGTCATGGATCCGTTGATGATATGAGATTTAAAGTTGTATGGATAACGATGTAATTGCATCGAAGGTTAGTTAAGTAATGCAAATGGGTTTCCATAATTATTTTTTTAACGGCCCTTGTACATATGTATGTATGTACTTTTATGAAAAAAATTTGTAGGATTTCGCACTATTTTTGAATCGGGCTTAAACATCACAGAAATATTATTATTCAAATGTGTGTTTTAATTCATATTTAGAGGCTCAAAGTCACTAACACAATACTAACTCACAATATGTAAATTATGTGTACATACATACATACATATATATATATATATATATCCGAAAATATAACATGTTAGGCGGTGGCGATTTGCATTTAAGAAAATTATACCATAACACGAAGCCTAAGCTATCTTATATTTACAACTAATAATTTGTTGTTGCACTGATCGAAAATAACGAAGCCAATCGAAACATTTAATTCAAAGAAAGTTTTAAACTAAGCCCGAAAATAACAAAATGGTCTTTAGATAGGCATATCTAAAATTTTTTTTCATAATGAAATATTTTAAAATTTCATATATTAATTTTAACATATTTTACTACAAGTGAACTAAACCCGAGATTAATATGAGGATAATATACAAAATTCACCGAAAAAATGAGAAATTGATAATTTGAATGCCCGAAATGGCTTGCAAAAAAATCGTCTTACCATAATGGATGTAAATAAAAACTGTCACAGTGACCAAATGCCACATTCTGAAAATGAAATTCGCCATCTCGCTTTACAGCTGGAACCGCGCATACATATGTATGTATGTCAATATGTACACATACACATTTGAATATATACAAACAGAAAAGTATATATAAATATTTTAAATATTCTCTTACTATGGGTTTTAACTGGTTGCGTAGGTACCATAAGTCTCAAGAAATATTTAATCACTTTTCACTTCACTGAACTAAAAATCGCGCAATATTCTTTTAATTCGTGGCTCTTTAGCTAGCGCCAACTACATATGCACATCCAAACAAACATACATCGTCATATACACATATGTAACTACTTTCTCGTGACGAAAGCCAAAGGGTGGCTTGACCGGAAGCCGGTAGCATTCAAAAGAGTCATTCACCTGGAACAATTTTGTTACATACTTTTGTTGGGTACTCGAAAACACTGACCAAGCGGCAAACAGAAATGTTATTCTAGTTTTTTAAATACGTGTCACGAAAAGTGCACCCCCATATTGCCTTCACTTAGTTTGACAGTAATAATCATTATAGTTTCTGCTACAAGAAATTTACCGAAAATAAATCTTTTAGCTTTTAGTCGCATTTTAAAATTCTTCAAAGCATTTATATTTTCTCGAGTAATTGTTTAAACAAATTCATTTTAAAATTATAGTCTATAATGATAGTTAAATAAAATAAACAAATTTCCGTCGGAAGCACAGTTTCAAAAGCGTTGTTACACCGTTGCTCAGAAGAGTTAGACTGAGTTTCAGTATTGCAACAAAACAAGGAACACCTCTGCTTCGAAACAACTTCGCGGTCACGCCTGAATGCGCCAGTTTTAGTTGTCGGTAGAGAATGCGTACCTTAAAATTCTAAATACATACATATATATGTATGTACATAAGTGGAATATAATATTATAAACATATATATGCATTGTATTTTAACCCTGGATAACTAATGCAAAATTTAATGGAATGCTAAAAAAAGACTGCACCAAATACCTTAATGTGGCGTTGTCATCTTGAGGTTTACATTACCAGCAAATCCATCAGCCACAAAACTTAAAAATTTGAGTCTCTTATACATATACATTTTATAATTTTTTCACACCTGTACCTACCGATTATTGTCACTGCGTGTGATATTCTATCATTTTGGCAGTATGTACAATACATACTCGTATGTACTTGTATTTTCCAACAGGGTAGGTAATTTTGAATTGTTTGTGAGCTATGTTTTATGTGAAAGACTAACTAAGCAGACTAAAAAGAAAAGCTCTCTAATTCTCTAATTTTCCTTTCTGTTGTATTTATGCACATATTTACATATGTTCGTACATATATATGTAGACGTATGCACTTACTAGTAATATGAAATTTTGTGATAGAAATGTTTCCACATCACTCCTCAAGCGTTTCAACATTTCTTTAATTTATTTTTTGGCTTGTGCTTGATAATGTAATGTAAGTATATACTTTGTATATATGTATTTTAGTTTGTCTATGTATTCAAAAAACGCACGCGTGAACGTATGCATCGACGGCTTTACTTTCATATATACATATAGCATACAACAGAAAACCGATCTCCCGAAAAAATATCTCACTCATAATAGATCAACACAACTTTATGATTTTATATTCATATACAAATTAATTATGTTTGCACATGTTGAAGTACGTGTATTCAGTTGGCAGCTCCCTCAACATTCAATTTGAAAACTTTGTATGAAAAGGGCCTACTTCCTTTATCCTGTTTAAAATATAGTGTCATTTCCAATTCCATCCTTGTTAGCGGACCTTAGTCCGATTGCTTCTTATCTGGAGGTCACATAATTAAAGTGTACCTATTTGCTTCCATCATATCCTTGGTGGAAAGTGATCCTTTACTGAAATTTGAATATAAAACAGTATACGGATTAATAATCACTTTTAAATTCGAAATTTCTTACTTTTTTCAATTATTTCCTATAGTAGATACTCCTACTTTTCTAACTTTGAAATAATATATTGTACATATCCATGTGTTGTATAGGCTGATGTGAGAAATAAACGAAATCTTGAAGTATTTACACATTTAAGAAAGTAATAATATGGCCATATTAACACTATTGAAATAAAAAGTAAACAAGGCAGGTATTAAAAAACGTTGATAAAAATAAAATAAAACAACAATTAATAATAATTGAATTGGTTGAAATTAAATAAGATAATATAAGCTGAAACATGAAAGAGCACATAAATAATATACAAATAATTTGACAAATTCACTATAAAATGTTTGCTAATTTCTCTCTTTACTCACATTTCCTGAATGCTAACAATACAGATTGCAAACAAATGCTTTACAAATCACGCAAGTTTGTGTTGTTTTATTGCCTGCTCCTCTCGCACTCGCTGTCCAACAGTTTCATCAACAGCCGTGTCTTCAAAATTCTGTTCGCTATCATTTTCAGAATCCGATAAAAATCTTTGGCGCCTCTGTCCTCTACGGATATTCAAAAACTACTCATTTTCATCGACAACCACATTATTACCCTGAGTTTCCTCATTGGCTCAAAAATCACTTTGACTTTCGACTTGATCATCTGCAGAAATTTAATTTTCTTCACCTGAATTCAATTCACCTAATGGTCGAATTCTTTGCAACTCTCTCACTGATCGTGTGGACATTTTCAGGGTTGCGGTCCGGGCAAGTCCGATTGAATGTAACAGAAATTGTCAAAATGTAACTAAAACTGTCCGGTGTTGCAACTACTAGGAAGAGTCGCTTGATAAGCGTATCTGAGTTTAGAACTAAGGTTGTACATGTAGTTGGGAAACTGCTAAAAAATACATAAACTTCATACGGGGTCAAACGACCTTCCATGGTACGTAAGGTAGGTAAAGAATTTTTGTCATCAAAGAATAAGCTACGAAAAAACCGAAAGTAAGAAATTGAGTAATCTGATCCATAAATCTAATCTAATTTCCATAAAGCTAAATGATCGAAAGAAATAACAAGAGATATAGGAATTTAAAGTAAATTTTCAGGGTAATTTGGCCCCGCTTGGTACGTTTAGTGTAAAAAAAATATCCTTTGAACCTTGGCACCAATCGAAGGTAACTAAAAAAACGTAAAGTTATAATGCTTACGTCCGTCAAAAACACCTTTCATTCCTCTGATTCGGCTACATAGTAGTTGGGAGGAGGAATATAAAGTTCTCGCAGCGGTTGGTGTCTTTGCTGGTTTTGAGGAAGACGAAGTTTTCTAAGGCCACTTGCAGAGTGCCGGCTGAAAGTCGAGCCGAATCTGATGATGAACTATATAGATAGAAATTGAAACGAACTCGCGCTGATATATTGTAGCAGAGTGAAGGCCTAGGGGATGTTAGAGTAGAGTTGATAAATACTAGAACAAAGTTTATAAATGCATTTTCAATTACACCTATACGTGTACATTCGGATTTATGGAAAAACTAATTTGCATAAATTTTTGGTTACACCAATGGTATCGCGTATCAGTTTGCCATTAGCTAATATATTATATATGTATGTAAATTTGACAGGCGGCCGCGGTAGCCGAGTGATTAGCGTACTGCCATTCGGAAGGCTGGGGTTCATATCCCCGTGCGTCCAACAACCAATAGTTATAGAAAATTGATTTAAATAAGAATTTTTTTAATTGCGGTCGCCCCTCGGCAGAGAATGTCAGCCCCTCCGAGTGTATTTCTGACATGAAATGAAGCTCCTCATAAAAAAAACCATCAGCCGTTCGCAGGCGGCTTAGTATAAACTGTAGGAAGACCACAAATTGGAGGAGGAGCTCGGTCGAAAATAGCTTGAGCGCCATTTATATATATATTTGACAGGAAGGTTTTAATTTGGGGGCAGATTTCATGGCCAGTTTTTCGAAACTGAAATTCCCAGAATGATTGTTTGGTAGAACTTATGATATAACAGTTATTCACATGGGAAATGATCTTCGAAAGATCAACAATGAAAATATTAATGGAAACACTTGTACATATGTATAAGCATTGGTATTTGGAGAAGATGTATGCGCATAACGGCAACAGAAAAATTATTTTACAATAGTTACAATTCGTTTTTGAATATTTCAATAGAAACACATTTAAGAAATTATTAAAAGTTTCCTTTGTGTAACCTTTAGAGACTATATTTGATGAAATCACTTATAAATTATTTTAATACTACTTTATTACCATAAATCGCTTGCTTATGATTATACCCCAATAATATTGTTCCTATTTTAATTTGGGAGCATTCATGAATCAATTAACTTGGTTGGTTAAAATATTAAGCTTCCGGAGAGGGGATGTGAACCAGAGCTTTATAGTTTTCTACAGATGAAACAAATATATATTAAAAGTTAATATATTGTGCCTAATAAATGATTCATCACCGTTATTTATATATTTGTTAAGTCGACAATATATGAGAAAATTATAATAAAAATAAAATATTTTTTTTAATAAATATGTAGTTGAAAACGAAAAGTGGGGTAGTGGTCGACTAAAATATGACTACGTCGTTTGTGGATACTCTCCTAAGGTGTGTTCTACCTTAAGGTTATGAATACTAATATTTCACTCAAGTCGTATTGTGGTTTAGCGAAAAGCTTAAGTGGAGTACTATCACTTACATACATATGAGATATAAATTGTAATTATTGTACATGAAAAAAGCAATTATAAATTTTTTTTCAACTTTTTGGTGTTATTGTTCTTGTACTTAAACTCTAAATTAATTGTGGTTTCCATTTTTTCGACTGCATGGGAGTATTGGAAGATAACACATACATTTGTAACATTTCGTCCGCTTATCAGTGTATAGGATAATTACAGTGAAAAGTGAAAAAAATTATGAAACGCTGAAAAACACCCATTTTAAGGGAGAAGTCCTGAGCCTCAAAAATCCTCGAGCCAATAACAACACCAAATGAAAGCTGACTTTGGAACTTATTCGAATGAACGAGAATGCAGAAATTTAAATGATATGGGAAATTGAAAATCTACTGAGCACAGATAATTTTTGTTTTTTTTCGAGAATTTTCATATTAAAAATTGAATTAATGACGATATGTTTTATAATTTCATTTTTTGTATGCCAGAATACAAATTCTTTAATGTGAAAGGTCATGCAGAACGTAAACGTATATCCTTCAAGAACTTTTACATAAATTTGTAAATTTGCTTTTGTTTGGAAAATATTTAATAAATTGAAATATTCATGGTTTGCTTCATTTAGCAAATAGCGCAGCTTATAAATTCGAACACACAAAAAGTTCCACTAATACATATGTGGCGGCCGCGATAGCTGAGTGGTTAGAATTCTGTACTGCCATGTGGTCGGCCAGGGCTCGAGTTCTTATCCGACCAACATTCAAAATTATGAAAAATTTATTTAAATAAAAAATTAAGTTAACTTTTTCAATTTCGTTCGCCCCATAAAATAAAAGCTCCATATAAATATCTATCAGCCGTTCGGAGGCGTCTTCTCCATCAAGATGCATTTTGCTTTAACCGAAAACCGCTTAAGCGGCAACCGACATGAACGAGGACAAAACAGAGAGGGAGTTATGTTACTTTTTAGTAGTCTCTACCAAGGATGCACGAAATTGAAGGCTTTAATTACCGCAGTTAGAATAATCCGATATGCGCCGTTTTGTTCGATAACTTGTTGCCATTTTAAAGATAATTTCTTTATGCCTCCCTCATTCAACCCCTCGTTACTA